CCTAACTAGTCGACGCGAGTGACTCAGTTTCGTGGCTCCAAAAATATGAACATTTGATTGGTTGAAATTGTTTATTTTGGTCCGCCCATTTATCCAAATACGGAATATAAGATTACGTCATTCTTTTGGCATCCTGGTGCCTGATATCAGTGTTTTACAAGTCGCTTATTCCGTCTATAAATTGACTTTCTCGTTGGTGGCGCTGTCCAGAATGAGAAAAATAATAAAAAATAAGAGACTTGTGGCAAGTCTAATTAGACGCTAGAGCGTTTAAAGAGAAGACTGTATGCGATTGACCTTGTGTGTGCTTCTCTCATGCTTCTCCTGATCGTGGGAACCTACTTGTGTGGGAACGTTTCTCACTGAATTCTCTGCTACTAGGCAATTTGCAGTAATGCAAACTGGTGGTATATGCCTATTTCAAACAGTTTATTTCCGTTCATGACAAAGTAAGAATATCGATACGAAACAAAGTGAATTGATCTTATTTCTGAACCGGACCGGTAGCGGCAGGATTTTGCAGAAGGGGATACGATGTCTCCGACAAAAAATCACGAGGAAAATATTAAAACAGTGTAAATATTTATTTCATTTCCTTCAACTTAACTTATATACCGGGATGGTGTCCGGCGGGAGATAGTTGTTACTATCATAGTTTAACTTTTATCTATCAGAATCTAGCCCCGAATCCTAGACTCATGTATTTAAAGCGGCCTGTAGCATGTGTATACAGCATATATTTGTATTTTTTGTCGATGGATAAATAAATGTCCGAATATAAGAATTGAATACTGTTTTCTGTACACTACATGTTTGTTTGGGTCAGTTAAGAATTAGCCCCTAATTAGGCCTATTAATGAAATACAACGGTACACAAACATTCACTTGTATGTTTTATTTATATTTTGACATTAACATAGGCCTTTAACACTCAATATTATTTTTATTTAACATAAGCCAATAAAGAGCTTCCACACATAAAATAACAGTAGGCTTAGCCAATAAAAATATATAAAATACAAAACAAGATTTATGAAAGATTAAAAAAACTGTACAGAAGTCTCCGCCCGGCAGGCAGACAAGGCCATACTTTAAACTGGCATCCAGGCACTCCATCGAACGTCCTATTGTTAGCATCTCAACTGACCCACTTCTGTCAGAGCGGCGCTCAAAGCGAATTTCTGTAGACCAAGGAGGAAAGTTCTTTCCTCCATGTATAGATCAACACCGGCCACACAGTCAGTGACATTTGTCACGTGATGTTGCGTACTCTGTTGGACTGATCACATCCACACACACGAGGTACCCAATATTAATTTACAGTAGTTGCATAGGCCTAGTTGCTGTATATAATATATATTGATGCCTACGTTTAATAATAGAGAAAATAGATGTTCTTTTTTCTCTGTAGTTTATTGAATGATGTTTGGCGAATACTGGCGTCCATTTGTGTTCCCATGTGATATGTGTGCAGAGAGTTGATAAATGTTTTTTCGTTCGTCGTCAGCTTCTTAGCTGGTAGGCTGCTATTTAACGAAGATACTGTAGGTCTTTCCGACAGAGCAAACGGCACTTAGGCCTACATGCATGTGCTGCCATTATCGTCATTACCACTTAATTTAACTATTAGGACTATGCAGCCTTTAAACTTTGAACTTGGTTCATTTCAAAGTAAAACTTGTTGTGTATTTTAAATTGTACAAAAACGGTAGTTCAACCGGGGCCTGGTCTAACGACACAGACGTGTTTGTCGCCCAAAACAATAGAAACCATGGCAAACGCGTTCAACAGCACAAACCCGTTTAGACGCGTCTGGGACATATTCCGACTAGCTTATTAATATTCATGAGGCACGATAATTAGACGATCGCTTTCCCAGACGCGTTTGTAATACATGGTTTTCCCAGACGCGTTTCTGTCGTTGGGGATAATTTGTAGATCGCGCCTAATAACGATCTTTTAAATAATAACCAATCAGGCTTCCGTCCGAATTACTCCACAACTACAGCACTTGTAAATATTACAGAAAAATGGTTTGATGAAATTGACAATGGTAACTTAATTGGATTATGCATGCTCGACCTGAAAAAAGCGTTCTACACTGTGGATTATAACATACTCTTTAATAAACTAAAAATGTACGGATGTAGTAAATATTGTATTAGCTGGTTTAAAAGCTATCTAACTGATCGTACTCAAACTACTTGTATTAATGGTATAAAATCAGAAACTTTAAATATTGTCTCTTATACACATCTAGATGTGTATAAGAGACAGCCATTACCCTTGGGGCAACAGTCCTTATGCCTTCGACATCTATCAGGAACCTTGGTGTTATTTTTGACCAACACCTTACTTTTGAAGAACATGTTAGCTCTATATGCAAGTCTGCTAATTACTACGTTCGTAACATCGGAAAAATAAGGAAGTTTCTTAACACCAAATCGGCTGAAATACTTGTTCATTCACTGATATCATCTCGGCTAGATTTTTGCAATTCCCTATTAGCTGGCGTTCCCCAGGAACTGCTCAAGCGTTTCCAATGCATTCAAAACACTGCTGCCCGTATATGCACCGGTGCTAGGAAGTATGATCATGTCACTCCTTTACTGCGTGACCTTCATTGGCTGCCAATCAGGCAATGTGTTGCATTTAAATTACTTGTTCTGACCTTTAAACTCTCCATCTGAATGAACCTTCATATTTACGTTCAATGATTTCC